TAAGAACTGATTTGATGGAGCTTTTTGATATCTAATGATAATATCAATGAGTAATAAAAATTTACTCTACATGTTATGTCTGGATTGGCTGGAAATTCCAGAGTAATGTTAACCAATAATGTCAATAGTGGGTGTTTTTATCACAGGAAAGTTAAAATCATGGTTAAGGAAAAACTGTGGTCATCTTTCAATTAAAACCAAAATCATAGTTGAAAACAAATCATTCTTAATTTTCTAGATTACATTAATTGCTTTGCAATATTTATAATGGAAAAAGGTATATAAAAATCTTGGGTAGTGTGCATTTCTCCAGCAGGGGGGCAACATCTGATTACCTCTAATTGGTAACTAAAAGGAAGAGGAACCAAACTTCAGATCTAGACTTCAGCTGGAAGAAGGCTAAAATGAAGCTAGGTACATTAGTTTCTAGATTCCCCTGCGTCACCATCATTCCCTTGAAAGCAATTCCTGGCATGGCGGCAGGTGGAGTTTCTCTCTTTCCAGGAAGACTATAAAGGAGAGCTAGAGGAGAGCACTGCATCCCCACTAAGTGCGGGCTTGATTTGCTGCCTGTCGTGCTGTCCTTACGCCATTGTTAGAAAAACCTGAAGTTCAAAGTATGGAGATGGGAACTTTTTCTATTTTGTTATGGTGATAAAGGATTAGAGTTTTCTTTTCTTCACATTAATTATCACCACTGTGGATGTATTTCATAACTTTTGATGTACGATGAACCACTCCAAAGTTAGTAATTTAAAACGTCAGTCTTATTTAGCTAACAATTCTGCAGGTTGGCAATTTAGGATGAGTTTAGCTGGGCAGTTCTGTTCTCAGCTGGGCTCCCTCATGAGTCTGTGGTGTGGTGAACTCTGGATTAATTAGATGGTTTTGCCCTTATGAGTTGGCTGGTTGTTAATTGGGTAGAACCTTAGCTCTTCTGCAGCTGATGTTTCATCTTCTAGAAGTCTAGGCTTTTTCTCCTTATGGTGGCAGAGGTCTGAGAGAGAGCAGAAGCAAACCAAGCCTCTTGAGGCTAACTTAGAGCTGGGACACTGTTACTTGTTTTGCATTCTGTTGGCCAAAAGAAGTCAGAAGACCTGCTGATTCAAAGGTTAGGTATACAGATTCTACCTCTTGATATGTGCTTCTATAAAGTCACGTTGCAGAGGGTATGGACACAGCCAAGTATGGATAATTAGGGCCATGTTTACCATCAATCTAACATAATTGGATGAATGAAGGACTAGAAGATGTGTTTAGAACACTGTTTTCCTTGTAAATGTGGATTTTAATTTTGCTGTTACAAATTATATCATCCAGCTCCCTTTTTATTTCAGCGAGTTGTCTTTGTATCCTGTATTCTTCTTATATTATTTTTTTATTTTTAGTTGCTTGTGAATCTTTGTTCAAATCCATGCCAAATAAAAATGGTTTAAAATTGTTTTTTGGTTTCTTATTAAATTTTTCTCAGAGGTATCTTCCCTGCATCTTTAGGCTATAAGTTATTTCTCATGTTTGGGAATAATTTTCCTCATAGAGCCCACCTCAGTTTTTCCTTTTTATTTGGACACTGTCGGTATTTGCCAACAGAGTGTGTCGATGCTTTTCACTATCCACTTAGGTTTAAATGCCTTTCAAATCTGTATCTGAGGAATAGGTTGTTACATGGTTCCCAGTGACTGGTTCTTAAGCCAGTCTAAATGTGGCTCTACTGAATTAAGCTAGGGTCATCTGCTACCATACCACTTATGCCTGGTTTGGGGGTACTTTAAAAAAGGTGAAGTATATGGAAAAACCATATTTTTAAAACATGTACTACTAACAAGGTTTTCTCTGTGTTTTCTGGTCTCTGCAGAGCTTTTCATGTGGCACTAAGCCTTTCGGGAAGCAGCAAACCATTGTCAGTGTCCCTTTACCCTTCCGTCTTATTGTTTGCTGGGAATTGTATTTAGATGGATATAGAAAGAGGTGTGCCACTGGGAACTGGGAATGAGTTACACAACCCTGGCTGCCTCATAAAGCTATCTTTCTTCTGCATAAGCACTGTGTCTGTTAAGCAGCAGGCAGAAAAGGGAGTGAGCTAAAAAGTCCCTTACTCAGCTGGCAGAAGTATTGTGTTTCACAGAGCAAAGCAAGCCTTTGCATGGCATATATCAAACAGAAAACTGAGCCTACCATTAATTTGTTTCTAGTCCTGGTTTCTGGGACTTTCAGATAGTGCAACTATCAGAGATTTCTCATCAGAGGTTAACTGAATTTTGGATAGGGTGTGCTTTTGTCTTTTTATGTGCCTTTGTATGGATTATTGTGAGAAGGTGGAAAAGACTGCACTAGGGGATTCTGTTCAGATGCCATCTTGACTCCATAGTGCTTTTAATTCATAATGAATTTTCCAGTTTTTGTTAATCAAGAACAGGTATTGAATAAACGTTAAAAAAATATAGCAACCACAAAGAGCAGTTTTGAAAGGCCAAGATTTGCTGCTTTTGGTAGCTTGTACAGTGTTGTCATGTGAATAAGTTTACCATTCCATTATAATTTTGGAGGAATTACGTACATTTCTCAGTCCTCCATTATTACGTTTCAAGTTTGCTTTTGGAGAAATAGCACTTTGATTTTCTCTCTGTTCTTACCCTGGCCATCAGTGGTCTAGAAGTGAAACACATTCCTGTCAAGGAAGTTGAAAGACCAGAATGAAGTGCCTCCAGAATTCTCTAAGCTGGCCTTTGTAATAATGGGTCAAAATAGCTGCCAGGGCTAATTGTAGAATCTTTGGGAAAATGATCGTTACTTTCAAAGATGCTATTTTTTCTTTAGATGTTTTGTCTCTGGCAACTGTTTCTGGCTGCCTAGTTTAAGATCTAATAGTAAAATTACAACCTCAGGGAATCCATCACATTGGAAAGTAACTGGAGTTATTACAGCTGTGAATTAAGATTTGCTATTAAGTACTTGATTATTGTTTCTATAATCTCTAATGAATGTACAACTTAAATGATGTTCACCATTTTTTTGAAAAACATGACTTGGTTTAAATGCCATCTTAACTCCTTTAGCACTGAAGTTCATTAATTGGATTGATGGAACAATTGTCTATAGCCTGTTCTCCTTAGTTAAGAGTTTACATTAGTGCCAGATTTTGACGATATGTATTTAACTTTTCTATAGTAGTAACCTAAGTGTGAGTGTTTTAAAATGCCATCTAAATCAGAGAGTCCTAGTTGTTAAGGAAAATCAGTATCTTATCTCTCAAACTAGGTCAGTGCTCTTAAACTGGGCTTTAAGGGAATATTTATAGGTTGTGTAAAAGTGTGCTTCCATTAAAAGTGAATCATGGTAATCTTTTCCCAGTATGTGGAAAAGTAGTTTTAGATCTGAAACGTTTTCAACCCTTTTGTGTGAATTACAAATTGTTTGACTAGCAGAAAATAAGCAGGAAAAAAACTGAGCCGTAAATCTTTATTTCATTCATTTTTTCATTGACACATGCTTGTGATATTTATATTACCTATCTTTAATATAGCTTTGCTTTTTATTGATTATTCTAGATTTTCTAATGGAATTAAGATTTGTCACATTGCACAGAAAGCACTGTAACTTCCAAGAGCTCTGCCATTAGAAGTGGTTTGAGAACCACTGAACTTACCATCTTGTAAGATATTAGAGGGCAAGGCTTTTGCCATCATCATCACACTCATTGAGTGGAAGTCACTGCATACTCTTAAGTGTAAAATAATATGAGGAAAATTGGATTTAATATTTGGGGATAAATTTGGGGAGAGTTTTCTGGATGGGCTGGTAGAGGGTGAAAGTAGGCATAGTAATGAAGATGGAATGTAACCACTTTAAACATTGGTAGGTCAGTTTATATGAAGCACTTGATTAAAGGCTCTGAAAACTCTAGAATTATGATCCAAGTTAAAATATTGAGGTAGCTTTCTCTCCTTTTAGTTTGAAAAGTTAATTTTGAATCGATGGACATTATACTAAATGATGACTAAAGCAAATTTTAGTTACCATTTCTTTTCCCTATAGTCTAAAATATGATTATAATATCATAACTGTCATTTTAGTCTTGGCCAGTAATTCAGTAAGTAAACTCCTAAAGAGATCATTGTCACAAACTTCCAATTACAAGGCTGTAATGTAGCTGTTGAAATGACACCTAAGTGGGAAAGACTGGTCTAGCTGGACAAAGACGCATATATGACACTTGGGGTGAGGAACAGAGAAGGATAAAAAAATGGACTGTATTGAACTTTGATCCTAAAGAATATGCAGGGAGATAAATGGTAAATACAATTGTAAATAGGAGTAGCACTAGAAGGAGTTATAGTTCAGGTACTATAAGAACTCAAAAGAAAGTAATATATCAGGTGGGAGAGTCTAAAGGAGTTGGCAGTTGAGTTAGTGAGTCTTGAATAGGCACAATGAATAGGGTAAGAAGCATTCTATCTCAAGGGAAAAACATGACCTGGGGCACTGGCCCCCAGACAGGTGTTTGTTGAATATCTCATGGAGTTGGGTAGCATTTGTTTTTCCACTGATTACTCAGTATGTTATATATGCCTCCTGAATGCCAGGCACTGTGGCAGATTGGTGCTGGGAATAAAATAAGATGACCCTTATGGAGCTACAGTCTAATAGAGATAGGTAAAACTGACAAATTAATGAATATATAAATCCAAAGTGAGAAAGACTGTTAGGCTACTGAATAACTTGAGTGAGGATAGATGGTATGATTAGGTAGTCAGGGAATGACTCTGAGGAAACAAAATGTAAGCTGAAACTGATCTTTGTTAGGAGCCAGTTTACTCTGTGGGATATTTACCCTGTTTGAAGTCTTTACCATTGTTGCTATCCCAATATACTTAATTTGGGTAAACTAGTGCCTCTTCAAACACAACCAGTGAAATTTCTCTTTTTCATCAATGTTTGCTTTATTCATTGCTGAATTATTTACCTGTTATGAAATTTATTGTGTTGTTCATGTTTTGCAGAAACCAAAGCTGAAAGATTGGCATCCTCCAGGGGGCTTCATTCTGGGACTATGGGCACTTATTATCATGGTTTTCTTCAAAACTTACGGAATCAAACATATGAAGTTCATTTTTTAGACTTGATGATATATGAAGAATGCATGAAAGACTGCAACCTTGGATAATAATTTATGTCATATATTTTTTAAAATGCGTTGCTTTTATGTGAATTGGAAATAAGTATAAGAAAACTAGATTTGAATCAACTATTTCATAACTTAAAAATAATTCTTAATGCAATTAATGGCATTAAATATTATTCTAGTTTTATATTTGCATATTATAAAAGCAAATGGGACAAAAAGATCAGAATACATTGATTGTTTTTGAAAATAATAATTTCCCTTTATCCCCTTTTCATTTAGAAAAGAAAAAATTGTGAAAACATTACATTCTCACAGAGGTAGCTTCAGTTAATTATTTTCTGTATATCCTCTCAATCTTTTGACTTATGCAGTTATTTTTTTTCCAATATGGAGATCATATAGAATATACTACTTTGTAATCTCTTTTTTCATTTTACAATAAGAGAAAAAAATTAACCTTTCCCTCTCAAAAATACATTGTGAATGACGACATAGTATCCACTGTATGAATGTTTAATTCATTTCACAGTCTTCTATTGTTTGACCACTTACATTGTTCCAAATGTTTTCCTTTGGTTTATTCTTTACCGTATTAATATTTTGCTGTCGGTCACTCATGGAATCCTTTAGCTTTAATTAAAAGCAAAGATGAAAAATTGTTTTTTAAATTTATGTCACTGACAATCTCCAGGACCTTATTTGTTGTCAGTTTATTTGGGAAATTTTAGACCTTTTGTAATTTTACGTATTGACTGCCCAAGAGAAACATACCCCATTATTTTTCATTTCTAAGCATTCTGTGATCTTCCAGAATTGGTCACCTCCTCTTTAAAGAGAGAGCCAACAAGAACTTTACTTCATTCTGTTTAAGGCAAACCTTGCCTACTGGCTCTATCTATACTTTCCCTGAGAAAAATCCCTTAAAGTGGATGACCTGTGAAAAAATAAATGCTTATGGCCCAGCTGTCATGTCCAGCTGATGTATCCCATAAGGCAGTAAACCCCTTTTCTGGTCTCTGATAAGATGCCAGAGCTTATATCCCCATCACTGACATTTTAGCTTGGAATTAATATTGAGACTGTGCTGTGATCAACCCCTGATACTGTTTTTTCTTTTAAAAGTTCTGCATATGAGTGGAGGAAAAGCCTAAAAGTTCAGTATTTATGTCTGGGGGGATACCTTCAAGTGTCTTATCTGTTTTATCCAAGAACTTAATGTGTTTATCTTTATTCAGTGCAAAGATCTGTTTTATAATTTTGTTTATAATTGTAGGTAACATTAAGAAGACAACCCTTCCTCCACAAGAAAACCCCTAAAATTAATATTACTTAAGATTTGTTTTTCCTTTTGCATTTAAAGTATTACCTTTTAATTGCATGCAAGATTGTCATACTTTTCACAGGTAAAGGGTTTACTCTGTTATCTTCCTAGTTAGAAAAAATGATATTGAGGCTTTTTGCTAGCTCTGAATCTTTGTTTTAATTGATCTTTTTATTGGTGTCTTATATAAATGAGGAAGGAAAATTTTGTTTGATTATATGAAGGATCTTTTTATACATGAAAAGAAGGGAAAATAAACTTGCAGTTGAATAGACTGATTACAGTAGCAATGAGGCACAAAAAGATTGACCATGTTGCCCTCCAGACACTCATACAAGGTCATGGACATCATGGTTAGGCGGAGCTATTTAGGGTGGTAAAGGAATTATGATTGTTCTTGAGCCAAGTAATTTAGTTTGAATATAATGAAACATACCCTGATGGTAAAGACTGCTAGAAAGTAAAAGGATTCCTCTTCAGAGGTTGTAGAAGGTGCCCTTCTTAGTTAAAACCAAACTGGGAAAAGTAATACTGGATATAATATTCAGGATAAATTTTGCCTCGGCAGAATTTCAAATGGCAGTTATTCCTCTGTTTCATTATTGAATCTTCAGAATATAGTTAAAGCCAAAAGCTTAAAATACGTTGTTTCATTTATTTTACATAGAGCATATTCTGCCTTTCTGTTTTAACTGTTTTAACATGTGAAAGAAATACGTTACAAATATACCACAAGGTACGACTATAAAATAATGAGATCAGTATCCATTTTTGCTTTATAGACTTGGCCTTATTACTTCATTGTCACATCTCATACTCAAGGGCATTTACTACAAAGAAAGTGTTCTCCAATATTGCTGTTCTGTTGCTGCCTGCCCTGTTTACACATGTACCTGCTACTTAAATAGGAATAACGAAATCCTCTGCATGTGGTAGATGAGTATATTTAGGTAATATTGTCAGCGCAGTTAAATGACCTACAATTTAAGTGATAACATAAAAACAGATCCTTAAATATATAATACTTGAGTCACAGAAGCTGAACAACAGAAAGGTATTTTGTTTTTGCCTTTCTCACAGTGCCGTGGTGAGGATCAATCAGATGAGATAATATTTTGACTAAACACTTTGGAAATTGTAAATATGTGATGGCATTATTGTTCTTATGTTGGCTTAGGAGGATACCAAGGGGGAAGTTAATGGTGACAGTGTCCCTGTTTCTCTTGCGCTTATGTACATTTCTAAGCTACTCAATGTGATTCTTGTTCTCTTTGGTATTCTTTTTCTCCTCCCCCATGGTGTCCTCCGGGGAGAAAAGGAATGTAGATAAATGAATCCCAGCAGACTTGTCCTGACATTTCAGGGAGGGACAGTGTATAATGATGCCATCCTGCAAAGCCAGGCTGTGTGAGAAAAAGAAATCAAATGATGTGGATTTTAAAGTTACAAAATACATTCATTTGCAGTTTATGAAAGGAAAATGTAGTTTGGATGCAAAGCTGATTAAATTGGATCAAGAAAAATTAGAATTAAATGCAAAAAATAATGCATGCATTTATGGTTTCAATTTTTATATATTCTCAGCTAGTTGAAAATGATGATTCCCACAACAAGCATAACTCAGCTTGTTTCTGCTGAGTATTTTCTACTATGGTATATGTTGATAACATTTCTTCCATTATGTATGTTGTATACCAGAGTTACAGTTACTGTGGGAATCATAATTTGAAATTTTGACTCCTGTGTTTCTGGAATCTTTACAACAAGTTTTGCATTAACATATACCCTTTTTTCAGTTCACTTTACCAAAATTAAGCCCATCTGTAGCAGATACTGTTTTAACATGCAAAATAAATACATTATAAACATACCACAAGATATGGCAATAAAATAATGAGATCAGTATCCATTTTTGCGTTGTCACATCCCATACACATTTACTACAAAGAAAGCATTCTCCAATATTGCTGTTCTGTTGCTGCCTGCCCTATATACACATATACCTGCTACTTAAATAGGAAAGCCTTTCAATTCATGGGCAATATCCCTTGGTGGTGACCCGGCTTTTATTTTTTTTTCTTTTAGTGTAAAAAATGTACTGTTTTGGAAATGTGCTATGAAATATTTGGTTTAACTGTGTAGATCCTAGAATAAGGGGATTGATATAGATGAAGTTGTAACCAAGAGACTGGTTATTAAAAATTCATTTCCTCCAAACATGGAAAGGTGGCACTGTCATTCTTGTGTCACCTGGGCAGCTTGCAGTTGCAGAGACTTCAGAGGACGTTGAGATTTGCCTGCAGAGAAATACCCAGTCATAGGGTCTGCCAGTGGGAATCATATGATACGACCCACATTCATTCAGTCTTCTCTCTTGTGACTGTAGGAGTGCCAGCTCTGACTGTGCCAGAGTTTCAGGGACAGGGGCAAGAGTGAATCTTTCTTAGGGGGTCATTTAATAAGGTCGTAAATGTAAACCAAATCACACAATGTCCGACACATAGGTAAGGTCAGTGTTTTGTTCTTTGCTGGACAGGGATATCTTGCTTTTAACTTCTGCTCAGGCCCAGGGTTCTGGTCACTCTTTAAAGAACATTAGCTTTGCTATTTATTCCTAGACTGTCCTTTTCCCATCTGTTTCCAGCAGGCATCATTTTTGGGTAACAGTTTCTTTCAATACGATCCAGCGATTTTAATCCATAGATTCTCTTGCTTCCCTTTTCCAGATATTTTCCTGTTTTAGGTAGATTGAGGCGTTTCCGAATCTTCCCTCAGCCTCACTTCCCTCAGTGTTCTACTGTCCTCTTTTTTCACGGACAGTTAACTCTTTTGGAAGCATGTCTTTAACATGATTTAAGGGATAGTCTGTCCTCACCCTCAGGTTGCAGATCTCTGGATAATAATCTAGTACTGTAAAACAGTGGGGATTACATTTCCAGGAGAACATATCCCCTACTTTCCCTACCCTTTGTTATCTTTTGTTAGAGTTTTTTTTTAGTTTCAAATGATAAAAACCCAAGTAGAACAAATTTAGGCCAAGAGGAGAATTTGCCAGAAGAATATTAGGATATTTTGTGTATTCTTGCAGGAAGTGGGGTCATGTCTGAGCCTCTTCAGGCACTGGAGTGTCACCTGGATTCTCTTCTCTCTGTGTTCCCTTCATTCCTCCTGGAAACTAGCTTTCTCACATGATGGTTAGAGCCTCATATCCCCTGCTTCTACCACAAGAGAGAGAAATTACTCTCTTCCTTTAATTCCAGTTCTACAAGTCATGTGAAAGAACAGATTAACCTTATTGGCATCAGGGTTCACTGGCCAGAGGGCTAAGGTATTGTAAGCACATAAGGACCTCTGGAGTCATACTCCATCAGAGCTCCTCCCAGAGAAGGGTGCGATCACAGAAGCCAGGCAGTTACCCTTATTACTTTTGCTAACTTGCTGTTCAATGGGGGCCCAGTGGAGCTGCAGTATGCCCACTGTTGCTTCCTAGAGATGCAGAATGTGGAAAGGATTCCTGATTTAATAAATGGTATTGGGAAAACTGGCTACCCATATGCAGAAAACTGAAACTGGACCCATTCCTTACACCTTATACAAAAATTAACTCAAGATGGATCAAAGACTTAAGCATAAGACCTAACATAAAAACCCTAGAAGAAAACCTAGGCAATATCATTCAGGACATAGGCATGGGCAAAGACTTCATCACTAAAACACCAAAAGCAATGGCAGCAAAAGCCAAAATTGACAAATGGGATCTAATTAAACAAAAGAGCTTCTGCACAGCAAAAGAAACTATCATCAGAGCAAACAGGCAACCTACAGAATGGAAGAAAATTTTTGCAGTCTATCCATCTGACAAGAGCTAATATCAGAATCTACAAGGAACTTAAACAAATTTACAAGAAAAAAACCCCATCAAAAAGTGGGTGAAGGATATGAACAGACACTCTCAAAAGAAGACATTTCTGTGGCCAAACAAACATGTAAAAATGCTCATCATCACTGATGACTAGAGAAATGTAAATCAAAACCACAATGAGATACCATCTCACACCAGTTAGAATGATGATCATTAAAAAGTCAGTAAACAACAGGTGCTGGAGAGGATGTAGAGAAACAGGAATGGTTTTACACTGTTGGTGGGAGTGTAAATTAGTTCAACCATTGTGGAAGACAGTGTGGCAATTCCTCAAGGATCTAGAACAAGAAATGCCATTTGACCCAGCAATCCATTACTGGGTATATACCCAAAGGATTATAAGTCACTCTACTATAAAGACACATACACATGTATGTTTATTGCAGCACTGTTCACAATAGGAAAGACTTGGAACCAACCCAAATGCCCATCAATGATAGACTAGATAAAGAAAATGCAGCACATAACACCACGGAATACTATGCAGCCATATAAAAAGGGATAAGCTCATGTTCTTTGCAGGGAAATGGATGAAGCTGGAAACCATCAGTCTCGGCAAACTAACACAGGACAAGAAAACCAAACACTGGGTGTTCTCACTCATAAGTGGGAGTTGAACAGTGAGAACACATGGACACAGGGAGGGGAACATCACACACCAGGGCCTGTTAGCGGGTGGGAGTGTAGAGGAGGGATGGTATTAGGGGAAATAACTAATGTAGATGATGGGTTGATGGGTGCAGCAAACCCCCATGCCACGTGTATACCTATGTAACCTGCATGTTCTGCACATATATCCCAGAACTTAAAATATTTTAAAAAAAGAACAAAAGAAATCCAAAATGTGATGCCCACCTCAGACCTACTGAATCAGAATCTGCATTTTAACAAGATCCCCAGCAGTTTACGTGCCTGTAAAGTAGGAGAAGCACTGACCTACTACACCTTTCTAGACCAAACAGCTCAATTTTATCTCCTAAAAAGAGATTGTAAAAGATTACAAACACTTGTGAAATAAGCAGGCATGGGCAGCATCTTTTATGGGTTAATTGACTCTTTAGCATTATTACTGACTTCTATTCAGACCTTATAAGACTGTGTACCACTCATTCTCTTTCTTTCTGAGGCTTTTCCAAAATGTAATAAATGCTTAAAACAAGCAGCTAATTAGCATTTATATGTGTGGGTGGTATCTGCAAATCCCCTGACACTCCTCTCATCGAGAGGTAGAGTCTAAATTCCCAACCCCTTAAATATAGGCTGGCCTTAGTGACTTAATTCTAATGTTACAGAATACTACTGCATGACTTCAGAGATCTTAAAAGTGATTATAGCACCTGCCCAGCTCTTTTCTAGGACTTGCTCTTGGAACCCAGCAACAGTCCCCCGAGGAAGCCCAAGCCACATGGAGAAGTCACATGTGTATTGTGGAGGACAGCCCCTCCAGGCTCAGGTCCCAGCCAGGAGCCAACATCCAGAGATGTGCAGGAAGGAGCCTCCAGATGTTTCCTGACAGCAACCACAGGAGGGACTCCCAAGTGAGAACCACTTAGTTGATCCCCAGAACCATGAGAGAGAATAATTTTAAAAGATGGCTATTTTACCCCATTAGTACAGAGGGTTGTTTTTACAACAATTAGTTACTGAAACACTGTTAATGAGTTACACGCTCTAGTAGATGCTTATGAGAGATACAAAAATCTAATTTATTAAAGAGTTACAAGTGGATTCTAGAAAGGAAAGAAACTAGATAGCAAAAATGACAAGTGCTATGTGACAGTTTTAGGATAGGAGATTAAAGAGAAACCTGTTTTTAATTGTTATATAGATATGTCATTAATCTTTTATTTACTAGCAGTTGATTTATGATAACCATGATTTATAGACAATCAGATTCGATTTCTCTATTTCTTGCCCCTCTCCCTTTTCCACCATTGTTCTTTTCAAAATTGTGCATTTTCTTCAGTCTTCCTGCTCTACCAACTCAGTCCTTTCATCAAAAGGCTTTGCTTTGTAATCTGAAAATTAAACTAGGGGAAGGTGACCAGCTTAACTTCATGCTCTACCTCCTACAAATTTGCCTTTATTTTCTTCCATCACATCCCTTCCCCACTTTGGGCTCAGAGCCTGAGGCAAAGATCCCTCTGCTTCGTTTTATTGATCCCGTTCCTTTTGGGATCTTGTTTACTGATAACTGCATCTCTCATCTCTTCCTTCAATTTCTTTTTAGATAAAGGGGCTTCCCCTTAAATTTTATAAAATGTGCAAGTTTTCCTCATTTAAAAAATTCCTCTCAAAATCCTGTGTCCGATTCTAAATGCTTTACAGAGCTCTCCTCTACTTCATTTCATAGCTTTTCCTTTGGAAGAGTGGGCTGCATTCACTTACTGGCTTCCCTGCCTTGCCTTCTCTTCATTGTACACCCCCTTGTAATCTGGCTTCTGCTCCCACCATTCTTCTGAAATGATTCTCTTTACTGTTATAACTGATGGAACTGCCAAATCCAATGGAAACTTTGAGCTTTGCTAATTTGGAGATCTTTGCTACCAAGAGGGAGAATGCTTTCATCAGGAGACACAGCAATTTCACTTAACGTCAAGAGATTTCCACCTGGTCATTTGAGGCTGTTTATGTCACTAGACCAACAGGCCAAAAATAAGGAGTTACTTCACTGGTTAGAATGGTTGATCCCAATTAGCAAAGGGAAATTGAGTTGCTGCTACACACTGGGGAGAAGGAGGACTATGTGGAATCCAGGGGATTATCTGGGATGCCTGTTAGCGGTTCTTATAACAACCAAAAAAAAAAAAAAAAAAAAGGCAGACGACTGAGAACTTTACCCTTCCCAAGGAAGGTTTAGGTCACTCTACTGGATAAAGAGTTTACCCGCTGAGCTTCTGGCCAAGGGCCAGAGAAATATAAGTCAGAGGTATCAACTATGGCCTTGTGGCCAACTGCTGAAATGAGGACTGTAGTGGCTTTGTGTATTTTCTCTTTGGCTATTATATGTTTATGTGTGTAGGCTGTTTCTTTCTCTTTTTTCCACTTTTATTTTTACACAAATGGGGCTTAACCATACATAATAGTCTCTGGGCAATAAAATATTCAGTGAAACTATGATAGAATTTGAGGAGTAAGGAATATAGCTGGCAATGGATACAGTGATGGTTAGGACTGCGTGTCTCTTTATTTTGTGAAGAGTAAGAATGTCTTCACTTGTGAAAATGGCAATATCTTGTTAGGTGGAAACAGTTGCTTCATTGTACAGAGCTCACATGAGTGAAGGGTAGATATA